AGATTCCTAGTAGGTACATGAATAGTTACAGTTGGGATTTTATGGAAAGGGCAACTTTCTAATTATTAGGAAAATTACCCTAATATTTATTGTGAATATATTCATTTTACATTGAAATAATACGATTAACATTGTTAAAAATTACATAGTTTCTATAGAATGAATATTTTCTATTTTTTCAACATAAAATGGCATATATTCCAACCATTCATAGATTTATATCAGTTTTAATTGAGGTTTCCTCCACTGATCAGTTAGCAAGTGAAATTTACCTAGGAATTGTTAGGTGTCAATTATCGCTTAACTTGCTTCACCGACGGTTGGTTATTTCCCCTTGTTTGAATGTAGGTAATTAACTAAAAATTTAACTAATGCTTGATCTGAGAACAAAATAATTTAATTTGGTGCAATTTTGCAAAAGATCTTTCAGGTTGCCCAGACCCTCATCTGTTTACAGCAAGGGTCAGTTTGCAGGTATATGATGTCAAAACGTCAATGTTAACCTACCTATAGTTGGGACGATCAAAATTGGCAAAGTCCACAATAAATTATTATGTGTGAAAGTGGACGTATCTTCTTTCTTGTTTTCACTTGGAACGGTAGTCATTTACTGCGTTCTGAACATACCCTTGTTAGGTTAGGAAATGCTTCATGGGTACTACCACAGCTGTCTCTAATACAAGCCATGCTGAGAAATTTGGCAACAACGCATTGCTTCGATGTGAGAGTCCTATTCTGCGAGTCTTAGTTGTTATTACTACACGTAGTTACACATGATTTTTAGACCCCCGTTACGATAAAAATTAATTGAATTATTAAATAACTAACTAAATAACATCACTGATAGTATGTGACATTATTTAAAATACACTTCAACATGTAGGTATTAAGAATAAAATAGAAAAGACAAAAGATTAGGTGTAAACATTGTTAGGTACCTACATGAATTTCATATCGATAATTGTAATTTTATTAAAGCAAATTTCCACACCACAATTGAAGTATTGCCAAGGCGCGTTAGCTTTTTTAGGGTTCACCAATAGCCCTGCCATCCCATTAGAAAAAAATTAATTACAATTTCTAATTTACGGATTTTTGCTGTCTTACAGTTAGCTGAATTTGAATTGGAGTGGTGGGACTCTTGCTTTCTATAATTTATAATTTTAACGTAATCATTAAGCAAAACATTAGCAAAAGAAGATAAAATTTGGAAGAATATATCTTTATAATGTTTTCCAAAACTAAATATTTTTGAAAATAGTTAATTTTCCTAAAATTGGTTTTTGGTGTTCAGCCCGTAAACATTGTGTCTGCAGATTTTCGTTATTACTTATTTCTTCAAGAATGGCATAAATGTGAAAAAAAAAAACTATACTAATATTATCAGTAGGAACAGAAAGTCCTCCCCTTTGTAAATAATCAAAATAAATATCTCCAACGCAAGAGCCTTTATTGTTTATTATGAGCGAAACACAATTGTTGCAAGTTATCTTTTTACGAGCAGAATGAACTGCATATCCTGAAATGGAAATTTTTAAGGAGTCATCTAAATCACAATTCATTAAAAAATCGGAATTTAAAATTTCAATAAACTGACTTATGTTTAAGGGAGACTCTTCAACAATTTAAATTCCTGTTTCATTATTCTCTGGTTATTTAGGATATGTTAAAAGCACACTCAAAACATTACCGGCAGTGGATACTTTTTTTTTACTGTTTTTATAATGTCACTTTCGTTAAAGTGATGTATGTAAACTGCAGAATATTTTCATGGAGTCCAATCTTTGCGAGGTATAGTACTTATGCATTTTTTTCGCATTTCATCATTTTTTTGGGAATAAAAATATAGACATACTTGTACTTACATTTTAAAGATGATTTATAATTTGAATAGCAACTGGGAACTCAACGACGAGAGGCATTTTGTTAAGAAATAAACCAGAAAATTTACAACCAAAACACACAATCTGACCTAAAACATTTTCACTTCTTTCACATAATAGTTAATATTGCCTTCTGAATTAAAAACTGTATCCAAAGGTATTAATCACTGTAACACACTATAATCATCCTTATTGCACATTTACTGCACGATATTTCCGCTAAAATTAAAATATTATAGAACAACGAAAAAACACAACAACTAATGTATTAGTTGTAACTCTCATTAACCGGGAAATCCTGGGACTCCCACAGTGTTGCCAAGTAAACCTTCAGCATGGCATGTAAGTAGAGACGGCTGTGGTAGTACATATAGAGTGGAAGGAGATAACCGAATAATAGTAAGTGGTGCAGCTGTTAGAGGTTGCTTAGGTACGCAAAAGATCAGGGTCGGCTTTATAACTGTCTGATTGCTTATAACTGTCTTGCCTTTCCACATTCTTGAGAATGTTGAACTTTCTTTAAAGTCCGATGCTGGCAATATGCTCAAGTTCTGCTTGTCTGGGTCTCTTTATGTTGCACATTAATTGGCCTAATGTTCGTTATTTTTCTTTGTTAGTGTACATTGCAATTCCTACCTGACATCTCCTTTCTATGTTTACGATATTCTCTTGTGAGTAAAAGTAGGTGTTCTGCCTACAACCGCAGTAGTCTAGTTGGTAAGCTGAAAGAAGGAAGTAAATGCTACAGTTTTATTGTGGACTATGTCAATTTTGAATCTTCCAATTATCATCATCATAAGGTCGTCAGTCATAAGACTGGTCGGACACGAAGCTCCACTCTTTCTTATCAGCTCAGGAGCTAATCTTTGCATTTCCCTAAAACTAGATCAACCCACATCCTTAACTATTTGCGAACAGTAATCTAACAAAGGTCTACCTCTACCCCTCTTAATTCCTGTTTCTGTCTCTAATATATCTCTGACTACACCTTCATGCCTGAGAAGGTGTCCTACCAATCCATCTCGCCTATTTTTTATTGATTTCCATAGAGTTTTCTGTTCTCCTATTCTTTCTAATACCCCTTCATTACTAACCTTTTCTGGCCACGTTATCCTCATCATTCGCCTGTAACACCACATTTCGAACGCTTCTAACCTTTTCTTTTCTCTCCATGTTTCGCACCCGTACAGCGCCATGCTCCAAACATACAACTTTAACAATCTTTTTCGAATTTCTAAATTAACCGTTCGCGAACATAGAAGTGACTTCTTTTTATTAAAGGCGACGCGACCCTGCGCTATCCTCTGCTTTATATCCTTACTACTCCTTCCGTCCTGACTTATCTGACTTCCTAGATATCTAAAATCAGTCACTTCCAATTATACCATCCAAAAATAACAACAGCCGAGTCAGTATAACGATATATAATTTCACATTCTATACTTTTTCCTAATTTTCTAAATTTACTTTTAAATAGCATCTCTACAGCTGTGCAATAATGAGAATTTGCCGCCTCATCGAACGTGTCACCACAGTTTGGTTATATTTGCCTTCCGATAGTACAAATGTTGACCTAGGTTTAACTTAAAGAGTCTTTAGTGAGTTACAATTTTATATTTCTGAGGATAGAAAAGCATCCAGAACTAATTTTGGAAAAACAAAATTGTTTATTTAACAAGAATAAAGTGCATAAAAATGAATAAATGGTAAAAACGAAGCATTTATTTCATGTAATGTTTGGGAAAACATGGCATATTTATGCACATATTTACGGTATGTCTTGTGGATAAAAATACCAAATCTATGAATAGTACTTCAACGTCTTTTAATGTTAGTATTAGTAAAAATATTAAGAAAACACTAGCAAAAACAAATAACAATTTATATATAAAAATGAACTGAAACACGAAATACAAACAAATAAAAAATATATATAAACAAAACTGGAAACATCTAGCAAAAAGACACAAGAAGAATAAAATATACTTTCATATGAGAACAAAGCTACAAAAAGAACAAGGTAATGTAAAGTAATAATAACAAAGACAATAAAATAAAAACAATGTAGACAATAGCAGAAATAACTTATATAAGCGGTAGTAGAGACTGTAAACTGTGTATAGATAGGAAAAAATAAACTTTTGTGTGTTTCATTCCCACCAGCCAGTAATGCTGGTGGGCGGGCAGTCCCTCCGGACTTCGCCGGAAGGTAGGGCGGAAGGCCCTCCTCAGCCTGCTTTCAGGAATCATGGGAATGGGTGGCTGGTGGTTCGGATTAGAAAGTTGAGACGGACGAAATGAAGACAGAAGAGAATGAAAGATTATTTGTCTGTGGAATTTTACTGCCCCAGCATTTACCTACCTAAGTGATCCAAGGAGACCACAGAAAAACTTGGACTCGGAATCGAACCGGCGTCCTCCCGAATGCTAAGCAATGGTCTGGACCTCTAGGCCATCCCGCTAGGTATATATATATAGATAGGAATTTTTCGTTGTATTTATAAGACACGGTTGTTAGTAAATCTGATAGAATGTTCCAGAAGGAAAAGTACTGAGAGTGAGGGTGAAGACACTGCTTTATAGAAATACGTAGAAATGAACAGTATAGAATTCAAAAGAAAGCAATTAAGGGTAAAACCAATTATTATTATGTGATTGCATACAGGTCTGAATGAACTTGGATTTCAAGGTAAAGATGATTGAGAGAACAATAGAAAGGCAACCAAAGGATGCACAAGATAAGAAGTTGAAATTGAAATAATATTTGAAGTAATAAGAGAATAAATTTAGAAGAATATTAAAGGAAGCTTAATAAATAGTATTAAATATTTACAAAAACTACATTTTTCCAATACAGTTCTGACACGACGGAAGATTAAACTAAGTCGTATACTCTTTCCGTCTCTCTCACTTTACAGATTTTGCTAGCTCGATCGCTCGACAAGTTGACCCTCAACTACAAAACTTTTATAGTCTCCCTTAAAAATTGTCAGTTCAAAAACAATTACTAGAATTTATTTATCACAAATTGAAGAATAGAAGATAATGCCGCTTATTCTAGGAAAAGAAAATATAAGTACGTGATTAGGCTCTATTATATATGTATATATACAGGATAATTCTGCTGTAGAAATTACAAGTTAAAAGCCGTGAAAATGTTCAGCCAACGTTTAGTAATTGTTTTTATTGCATTAATTTCATTTTCTTACTCGCAGTACACCTCGCGAGGTCAATGTAGTGATCGAGACAGAATTAATGTAAGCGCGGTACAATTATTCAACTTGCAGCGGGTAAGTTAATCGTATTGTAAAGTTAAAATATAAAGCACTAGCTTTTCTTCGGGTCTTCCCTCGCACAAATTAATGTTGCTTCTCCATAAAACCTTTTAACTCCCAATTCACCCTTACAACGTATTAATTTTATTTAATGTCGACATCTTAGATTGCAAATACAAACGTAGCAACAACATTTCATCCTTAAAGGGTGATTTTTAAAAATTTCCGAAACACGTATTTGCTTAAAATAATTCGAAGTGGTCTGTATTCTGTCGAAACTGCCAGACGCGAATCGCGATTTCGATCTTTTTGGATCTCATCAGCGCGTCGCAGACAGCTCCGACAGAACACAGACCAATTTTTACCTGATGTCTTAACAGCGAGTTTTAGAAAATACCACAAATGACGCGGTAAACGCCACCTGTAGTACGATGCTAAATTTTAGGATTACGTATGCTACAGATGGCGTTTACCTCGTCATTTGTGGTATTTTCTAAAACGTATTTGCTTAATTTCAACAATGAGTAACCTTTCGACTAAATTCGAGTAAAAATAATATATATCCCATGGAAGCGTTACAATTTCTTTTCATTTGAATAATAATATCAAACAGCATATGTACGAAGTTTCAAGTAAATTAAACCATGAATGAAGAATGTCACAAACAAAGATTGTAGCACCCTTTTACCCCTTCCCTATCCCTTTGGAATTTGACTTTTTTGAAATGTGGAGATAGGTCTTTCAGAAATTAAATGAGAGATCATTAGAACCAACTTTCAAGTAAATCTGTCCACAAATAATATATGTTCCATTTAAACATTGCAACTCCTCTTCACCACCCATCCCCCCCAACAGAGATTGAATTTTTTAACAAGTTTCAAGTAAATCGGACCAAAAACAAACTTGCAATCTTTGCAAACCCCTATCAGCTTCCTAAAGAGGTAAAATTTTGTAAAATGATGAAATAGGTGTGTCTGTCACTAATTTTATATGGAAAAGCATTAAAGCCAAGTTTCAGGTAAATATGACTATAAATAATACACCATACTTAACCATAGACAACATTACGTGTAGCTGTCAGTTGCGTTTTGTCATTCCATGTCAGTTGCGTTTACATATACCACGTTCCTTCCGTGGAATGTGATAAAAAGTAACCTATGTCCGTCTCCTGATTCTAAAGTCCCTCCCCACCAATTTTCAGCCAAATCGGTTCAGCTGTTCTTGAGTCATAAATAGTGTAACTAAAACGACTTTCTTTTATATATATTAACTATCCTGCTTCAGCAAATAGTTTTTTGATAGTTTGCAGGAAATGGGGCGGCATGGTACCCTGTTATTGCATACAACAACAACCTCAATTGCCAAACCGTGTATTTTACCTTAACCAGTAGTGACACTATGGATGTGGTTTACGTACAAAAGATTTAACCACCGGCGCATGGTCTAGACAGAAACGACAAGCAAAATGGGTTCGACCTTCTTATAGACAAGGGATTATAAGTGTGGATTACTCCGATGTTGGCGAGCCTTTGGTATATAAAATTGTTGGAATGGTTTATGATGAATTCACTATTCATTACAGTTGCATCAATCTGGATAAAGAAAACAGACAGGGTAAGAATGAGTAAATTTATATAGTTGAGAAGAATAACTGAGAATTTGTTTTTTAAAACATAAGCTGCATATCGTAGAATTTATTTAATACATTAATTGGTGAGGATACCGTGGATAGAGAAGGTTGGCTCTGCGATCTTAGCACCTCATGTGTGGAATTTTATTGACCAATTATACCATCTGGAAGGTCAGAAATTGGTCATAAAAGATCAGTTGGTTTTATTAAGTGGTCAGCGTTAGAAATTTTTTATTAAGGGTTAATGTTTTTCAAGGTCATTTAGAAATTTTAGCACCTCTTTCACGATGAAAATAAAAAATTGCACCCATGCGCGATCGAGAAGCATTCCCTGATAATTGGTCAGCTTATATAAATATTTGGTCAATTTAATTTAATATTAAAAAGGGTGAAGACACTGCTTTATAGAAATACGTAGAAATGAACAGTATAGAATTCAAAAGAAAGCAATTAAGGGTAAAACCAATTATTATTATGTGATTGCATACAGGTCTGAATGAACTTGGATTTCAAGGTAAAGATGATTGAGAGAACAATAGAAAGGCAACCAAAGGATGCACAAGATAAGAAGTTGAAATTGAAATAATATTTGAAGTAATAAAAGAATAAATTTAGAAGAATATTAAAGGAAGCTTAATAAATAGTATTAAATATTTACAAAAACTACATTTTTCCAATACAGTTCTGACACGACGGAAGATTAAACTAAGTCGTATACTCTTTCCGTCTCTCTCACTTTACAGATTTTGCTAGCTCGATCGCTCGACAAGTTGACCCTCAACTACAAAACTTTTATAGTCTCCCTTAAAAATTGTCAGTTCAAAAACAATTACTAGAATTTATTTATCACAAATTGAAGAATAGAAGATAATGCCGCTTATTCTAGGAAAAGAAAATATAAGTACGTGATTAGGCTCTATTATATATGTATATATACAGGATAATTCTGCTGTAGAAATTACAAGTTAAAAGCCGTGAAAATGTTCAGCCAACGTTTAGTAATTNGTAGATATCCACACAAGTGGACCTTGTTGGAGCATACGTAATCCTAAAATGTAGCATCGTGCTACAGATGGCGTTTACTGCGCCATTTGTAGTATTTTCTAGAACGCACTGTTAAGACAGCCGGTAAAAGTTGGTCTGTGTTCTGTTGGAACTGCCTGCGACGCGCTGATGAGATCCAAAAAAAAAGAAATCGCGATCCGCGTCTGGCAGTTTGGACAGGATACAGACCACTTCGAATTATTTTAAAAGACAACTTATTTAATTTTTTTTAATATTAAATTAAATTGATCAAATATTTATATAAGCTGACCAATTATCATCGAATGCTTCTCGATCGCGCATCGTGCAATTTTTTATTTTTATCGCGAATGAAGTGCTACAATTTCTCAATGACCTTAAAAAATATTAACCCTTAATAAAATTTTTTTTAAGGCTGACCAATTAATAAAACCAACTGACCTTTTGTTACCAATTTCTGACCTTTCAGATGGTATGATTGGTCAATCGAAATTCCACAGGAGAGGTGCTAAGATCGCGGAGCTGAGAAGGTTAGAAATGAAAAGGTATTAGAAAGAATAGGAGAACAAAGGACTCTATCGATTTTAGTAATAGGTGAGATAGGTTAGGTTAGTAGGACACCTTTTCAGGCATGAAGGTCTAATCAGAGACATATTAGAGACAGAAACGGAGGTTGGGAGGGGGAGGTAGACCTAGATTAGATTATTGTTCGCAAATAGTTAAAGATGTGGGTTGTTCTAGTTTTAGGGAAATGCGAAGATTAGCTCAGAATAGGAAAGAGTGGACGTGCATGTCCAACCAGTCTTAGGACTGACGACCTTATGATGATGATGATAATTGGTAATCGTATGTATTGGTATAAAATTAAACGATTTTTCAGTCTTTTACCATTAGAGTCTGGCCCATCTTAGGTTTTACCATTGACGATTATACACTCGAATTTAAACGTTTTCAGATGTGACTAGAATGTATCAAACCATCCTTTTTTCATTGTAGATTTCTATTTAGTCTTCTTCGCATAACCGTAGATTTTAGCATATTTTAAAATTAAAGCAATTCGTAATGAAACAGAGTGTACCAGAACCGATTCGCGAATTTATGCCCAAAAGTACTGGTTTTGATATACCAATCATAGATAGTTAAAATAATAAATAATATTTGCCTACGTTATTATTTACTTAGGAAAATACATTTAGAAAAAGTAGAGAACTTATAACTATTATAACGAGTAAAAACACTATTAGAGATTAACAAACGTAATGCCGCTTCACCACCCTACCCCACTTCTAATTCAGATTGACTCATTATTTTCATTTAAATAAGTAATTTAATAGTAACCAACTGATAGATCTTAGATTTTCATTTTAAATATTTGTTTACGATGTAGGCATTTACTTAATAATATTATACCTACTACCACGTTGCATCTATGTATTAAAGCGTGAAACCAATATGTTAGAAGTTGCTATCCGTATCTTCTAGATTTGTTGAGTATTAATTTTAGTTGTTTGCCCAGTGTCCATTTTCAATTTTCACTGATGATCGTTTACTACCTTATGTATTCAATTTTTACTAGAATTTCTGCATGTGATGAGCCGGAACAGAAGTTTGACATCAGATCAAAGAACTAGGATTAGTCGGATTCTTGAAAGGCAACATCTGAATGGAACAATGGTGAATGTTGTACAGGACCCAGCAGTTTGTTAAATATAAAATAACAATGACATTTATTTTGTGAAAAACTGATTTCAATTAAATTTGATAGCAATGTGAAGGATTGTTTTAGTCAGTTTATCCGTTTCTTGAATAAATGTAACTTTAAAAATAGTGCAAACACTAGAATTTATAAAAATATTTGTAGGTAAAAGAACTATTTTAAAGATTTACGCTGAGTAACATGTAATTTCCGGGTACATATCAATTTTCATAAAACACTATTAGGGTGAAAATTATCCCTACCCTGTGATGTAATTGAATTCATTCAAGTATCATGTAAGCAACAAAGGGGACGGAGAGATCTGGATGGTGGTTACATCAGCAATATTTTTTATTTTCTTTTTATAATTTTTCTACAAAATTAAGTAGATTTTGATTTGAAAGGGAAAAACATGCTCAAGAATTCCTTTAAATAGTTGATATTGCTGAAGTTATTTACATAGACCTTGTAGGTATGATACACTAAAAAATACTATATGAAAATAAAAAGCAAAAATAGTGGTTTGCAAGGGAAGAAAATGTGGCGAAAGAGTGAATATGAAGATAAAAGACGAAAAATTAAAAAAAAATCGCTGGTTTTCGGTATCTACAAAGTCAGATAATTTAGGATGGAAGGAGCAGTCAGTGGCGGATCTAAGAGGGGACTATGCCTATTCGCGCAGCTATCCTCAATGTCACATCGCTAACCATTTAAAACGAATTGCATTGGGTTACACCGACGAATGCTGAGAACACCTTGGATAGCCACGCCAACCAATGAAATGGTACTGAATAGGGCGGAAACAACCTATTCTATTATTAAACACTGTGATGTTTTGAAAAATTTCACATTATAATAAGCGATATAGAATTCTTCAATTAATTATGATGGACAATGTACACGGGCGTAGACGGGAAGGAAGGAGACATATTTCCAAACTGAGGAATATATATAGCACAGAACTGTGAAAAACTCGCCAATGTAATCGACAGCATTAGGAGGACCTGACACTGCACTTGAAGAGGAAGTAATCAACTATATGTGTACTGTTCGTTTCAAGAAGTTAGAGATATGCCCTTTCCCTTTATTAGGATGCGCCGTAGCATAATTCCAATAACAATCATATTTGTCTGCGGAGCAGTGATGTCATATCTACCAACTTTTTGGCAGATCTACCAATTTTCACTTCAGTCTACCTATCTACCACCCTAGACCTAAAAACTACCTATTTTTTTAATTAGTTTGACATGTCACCACTTTGAATTATTTTTATATCGACGTGCGATGTTGCGATGTGTTGCGTGAGCCATGCGACGATGCGTCAAGCATACATAGAGTCCAGCCCATAAACCACAAAAAAAAAACGTCAGCAACAGTTCGCCGTTCGCGCCCATAGACATTATTATACTGTTCTGTGGCCCATTCCCGGTTGGTTTGTTACAGAATCAATAATGAATCTTTGCTCCTGTTTTGTGTTGTTTTATTGTTAGAACTAAATAACTACGTATTAATGGTGCTGATTGCTGTTTGTTCTGTGTTGCGTGCATTTATTTATATAATGGATTCTGACAGCAGCGAAAGCGATGCACAGAGTTCTAGGTTAGGAACTCCGCCACGAAAAGCTAGAAAAAGGCACTATGACCAAAAATATTCGAAATTATGGGAGAAAGACAAGGAATTTGCAGTAGCGCCAACGTTGAGGTATTGTTTTCTGCAATTAATAATATGAAAACCTTCCAGAGAAATAGAATTTGCACGGAAACTCTAGAGGGATTATTGCGTACTAAAAGATTCATAGCAAACAACGGGCAGCCTAGAGCAGAACATTTAAATTTTTTCAACAAAAATATGTATAATTTCTAAAAATAAACATTTTAAGAACAGTTCATGCATTTTTAATTTTAAAATTTTGCATTTTACATTCTACCAACTTCTACCAACATTTGGCACATAATGTACTAATTTTCTAAAATTCGGGTTGGCAACACTGCTGCGGAGATCATTTCTCCACCGATCATCGAGCGAGAACTAGACAAAAGTGTACAGTACCATTTGCAAAATTACTTAAACTGCCTCGTTAAAATTGTAGAATATGCTTTATTTAAAAGCATATTTAGCCAAAAATAATAACAAGTGAATTAACTTAACGTTCTACACACCTATAAAACTTTTGCTTTGTTTTCTATTGTTAATTTATATACATTTTTGTTTTAAGAAATTGCTAAACATTTTCGTCTAGTACTGTACAGTTCCAGCCGATCTCCTAAGACCGCCCATCGAGAACTCTACTCGTTCAAACTTATTCCAACTATTTCTGTCTTGCTCACGCCTAGTGTGCATTCTTTCTATCTTCGCGCAAATTTCTTCAAGGCCACAATTCTAACAAATTGAAATAGACTGTAAGTTAGTCTTTCGAACTACATTTTGCGCGTATACAAACGAATCAACATCAACTTCTGACACTAAAACTATCACAGACTCGAAGTTGTTAAAGTGGAATGTGATCAGAAGTTCGGATCTGTCATTTGTGAATGTTGGATTCCTTTAGTTGCCTTAACGGTAACATACACAATTCGTTTCTGTACATCTCTTGGCACAGTACAATATAAGTTTCACTCCCTTCCTTTTATAATAGATATCGAAGAAGTGCACCAAAACTATCGAAATTTACATATTAATATAAATAATTAAATTTACATTTCATTCCTCGTGAAGCCAATTTTTTGTATTTCTTTTCATTTTGAATCGAATGTTTTTTCATTAACAAAACTGATTTTATAATTACTTCCCTGCAACATATATAACGTTCAATTTTACACTTACATATTTATCCGATTCAATTCACCTCTATCAAACAGATACGCTAGGGTTAAAATCTTTTCTTATCGATATCGGATGAAAATCTACTACTTTATTATAATTTAAGAACATTCTCAAGAAATCACCATTATTTTAAACACATGAATTTTAAAAGTTTACAAAATGGTAAAAAATTGATATTTGTTTTCGTATTATGTTTTCTTTCAGTAGGCGTCCAGGTATAAATAAAAAAATTATATATATCATTTTCATCATCATAAGGTCGTCTATCCTATGACTGGTTGGACACGCACCGCCATTCTTTCCTATCCTGAGCTAATTTTCACCTTTCATTAAAATTAGAACATCCCACATCCTTAACTATTTGTGAACAGTAATCTAATCTAAGTCTACATCAACTCCTCCTAACTCCTGTTTCTACCTCTAATATGTCTCTGACTAGACCTTCATGCCTAAGAAGGTGTCCTAACAACCTACCTCGCCTATTTCTTATTGACCTCCATAAAGGTCCTCTGTTCTCCTATTTTTTCTAACACCTCTCCATTTCTAACCTTCTCTCTCCATGGTTTCCTCATCATTCCCCTGTAACACCACATTTCGAACGCTTTTAACCGTTTTCTGCCACACCCACCGTCCGAGTTTCGCACCCGTACAGCACCTCTCTGTTTAGGTATGGTTATTACCACGTTCCGTAAATGTGACTAACTAGCTTAAACATACGATATCTAACCTCTCGTCCTGGATGTTTTAGAATTTCCGCCTGTATTCCATCTATATGTGGCGCCTTATTATTCTTTAAGTTTTTTAATTCTACATCAAACTCTTCTCTCATTATGAGATACCCTAGCTCACCTATCTCCACACTATCTTCCTTCTCATATATATCTCCTAACTCATGGCCTGCCTATAGGTTTTCTAAATATTCTCTCCACCTATCTGCCTTTTCCTCATTTTGTATCAAATATCATTATAACATGGATTAAAAGTGAAAAAACACTAGGTCTTGCTGTTTATATATGAAGGTTCTTCAAAAAAATCGAATAAATTAAAAATTTTCTGATTGAAACTTTGAGACGGTCGATAATTTTTTTATTTATGATAATCTACAATCATTGACAGACAGTAAAAAGTAAATCTGAACTGTTTATGAACCCTGAGCAGTTCATTTTCATTATTGTAAGGGAAAAAATGGAAGGTATTTTACAGGCACTGTCTTCGTAATTTTAATTTTCAAATTAGATAAGGAAATAGAAGCGTAGATATAATTTAAGAACAAAGGCTTTCCGTCCAATAGAATAGTTCACTTAGACCACGGCCCTATAGTCCTAATCTTCATTCTACTAGCGTAGATATAGTCTGCCAGTAGTGGCCGTTTAATAAAATGGTATATTCTGCTACTAGTGGTAATTTAAAAAGAAGTATTATTTTATTGCAAGTTATTCGTAAACTGATACAAAAATTTATAGACAACCGATTTTGCGCTATGTTGCCTTTCTCAATAACTACGAAAGCCCTTGCAATGATAAATAAAACACAAAATTAGTAAAAAAAACAAATGAAATGAACAAATTTAAAAGAAGAAGGTATTGCATCAACCGATAAAGTAGAACCGGTAGCCTCCAGTGTGCTAGGAGAAATTATAAATTTAATTAGTTACCACTGGTAACAGAATATTTCAGTTTATTAAACGGTAATTAAACGGCAGACTAAAATATCCTAAGAAAATAGTAAACAAGGTAATTTTAATTAAACTTACGTTGGTTGGAAAATGTAAAGCCAATGTGAATTAAAATGAACAGTAGCCTCATTTTGCCCGAAATGTTGTTGACACTATTAAAGGTAAAAATTATTTAAAGCTTGCGAACTATAAACTCTGTCTACAGGTACTAATGTATTTTCTATTGTTTAAATATTTTCGAACAAGTTATCATGTACTCTGGATTAGGAAAGGGCGTTTGTGGAATAGAGAGCTATCTTTGTTAACGTATCTTGACCTTCTTAAATACTAAAAGATAAAGAGTAATTTAAAGGAAGTTTTAAACATCTGAAAAAAGATCAAACGGAAATTTTTTGCTGCTATTAACAAGAAGAAATAGTAAATAAGATAAATACTAATGAAAGGGATAAACCACTTTAAAATTAGAGTTGGGATGAAGCTCAATACAAGCAGACCCAGTAATGCATGAGTCAACGAAAATTGCAACAACGAATTGAATACCTACACCGATTCATTTTACCAATAAAAGATAGACGTCGAGATCAATCCGTAAAATTGGATTGCAGTTAAAATAATTTCGTTTAACACGGTGCATAAATGATAGTCTGAATAGCATTCTTTCAACTTTTTGAGTTTCACTTGGAATGGGATGTTTGGTGTTGTGTTATTTTGTATATTACTGTACATATTTCTTAAGTAGTCTTTCTGAATATTTTATTTTATTAGGTCTATAGTGTAGGATAAATTCAAAGTAGTTGTTCAGTAAACATCTACTACCAACCATAAATTTATGATATTGGCGGAAATACCGAATTAATTGGGGTTCGGTATTTCACCGAAGACAAGACCAGTAAGGTCAGTTACCTACCCCAAAGATGCCTGTTTAGGGCGTGTCGCTTTCTTCAGTACCTATTATAAATACTAAAATTTGAAAACATGAAAGGCATTCGATTTATATCAATTCATATCCAACAATCAATTCGATTCATTCAATTCATATCCAACAATCAATTCAATTCATATCCAACTATCACTTCGATTCATATTCATCAATTCAACAATTCAAACAATTACCAATAAAACCCAATCTATGTACAACAACCAAATAAATTATACAATTTATTAATGCAAGTGTTTATAGATAGTGTAATATTAAATTAGTGTAAAGAAAAAACAATTAGTAAGGAGAATACAGTTCATTTCTTTCGAAGTGGTAATAACCAAAAGAAACGAAAGGCGGGATACCGCCACATCCGACATGGGATATGGTGTGAAGTAGTTTTTTTGATTGACCTGTTTAATATGACCTCAAAATCATGACGTGCTGATTTAGCCCGTCGTACATTTAATAAACTAGAAAAATTTAGTGTAACTTAAATTTGATTTTCCAGTTTGATTATAAGCGTAGATTTCTTCTGAACGCACATGAAAGCATCGAAATATACAAAAATAAAGAAAATTTAATGAACTCAGGCAGTGGAAATAAATATTAGATTGCACAATATCAAGTAAATTTCAAATTTGGTTCTTAACTAAGGGATGAAATGGAGAATAGATTAGGTTGCACATTCCGCTTTCCAGCATGGTTATTTTGAGGCATGTATTCAGGAAATTTAGAGTTAGTTTCTGTTGGTACCTATTGAACAACTGCATCAAACAGGTTTGCCGTTTTCCTATTGCTAAAGGCGATTTTACACTTCAAACCTTAAAACTATATTCTCATGGTACCGGCCAGAGTAAAAATAAAAAGAACTATAACACCACCGAATCGCCTCCAAATATCTGAAATGACTCAAATTACCACCGAAATAGGTCCTACAAGTAAGACGAAAATTTAATTTCTAAAATTATAGCCAAAATACTACCGTTTGAAACTCTAAAACAGTTCCAAACTATCACCACATTAAAAAAGAACCTAAAGAGCCCTTAAACAGCACCGCAACGTACCGTAAATAAAAGGTATTTTTTCGCATGTTTTATCGTGTTTTTATTTGAAAGAAGCGGTGTCGAGATCAAAGGCAAAGTGTCACGCTGAGGGTTGCTGATTTTTTGCCCAACAGCATTGTATTTTTTGTTTAGTCTAATTTATCTATAGTGGTGAAAAAATGAATAAGTTACATTTGGTATTTTTAGTTTTTTAGTCAGTAGTAAGAGTATCATGTAGTAGAATGGATGTCTTGTTTTTCCGTATTTTATAAATAGAAAAGTTAAAGCTCGTTTAACACCTTCATTGTTTTATTTTCAACAATTAATTTCTTTTGGACCCAGTTTCGCGATATAACACAGATAGAGCTTCATCCCGGTACAAAAGTCATGATTTGCCTGAATGATTTAACTCTAGCCCTATCGAAGGCTAATAAAAAGAAAAGTTCCATTGTCCGAAATATATTCTAAGTAATCGCATCGAAAGAAGACATTAAGCAGTTCTGAACCGAGATGAAATTTACGAAAGAACATTGAAATATTAGGACCGCTGTAATTGGTAAGTATAATTCAACTACTGTTCAGATTAATCAAGTTTTTTTACCATTGTTTTGTTTGATAAAAAATTATATAATTTAAGAATGAAGCGCGAAAGAGTTCAACATTATCACAAATAGAAAGATGCGGGAAATGCTGGATGAATAAGAAATAAAGGAATCATCAAAAAGCGAGAATGAAAAAAAAAAATCGAAACTCAACAAAACTAAGAAAGGGAAAATTAAGTTATGTAATGTATTGTATGTATAAGAAAAATTGTATGTAGTCTCTATGTATTTTTATTGTTTATTTATGTATCGTATTAAAGCAATTCCACCATCATCAACACCATCTCTAACAGTACCATCATCATCATCATCATCATCATAATTTTCAGTAGCACCATTACTATCACAAACAATGAATCCCAAAAGAAAAAAAAGTAAGTAAATATTAATATACAATTATATGTATTTATATTCGAATAACATTCCTCAATTTTTTTTTCATCATAGTGACTTCAACACCGTCATCATCCAGGACACAATTAAGTCATTACAACAATCACAATCACAAACAATATCAATATCATCACCAACACCAGTACCAATATCAACATCATCATGATCATTTTAATGATAATAATAATCATAATCAGAATGATGGTAATACTTTATCAATTTTAACATAATAAATGTGTAATTATTTATAAAATAGAAATAAAGTTTCTTAATTTTTTATTAAAATTAATGTAATATTCATTAGAATTTATTAATTACAGTATGAATATAAATTTCAGTATCCCTTTAGTGCTGTNGACCGAGCGGCATGGCCTAGAGGTCTAGACCATTGCTTAGCATTCGGGAGGACGCCGGTTCGATTCCGGGTCCGTCTGCCTTGGTCCAAGTTTTTCTGTGGTTTCCTTGGATCACTTAGGTAAATGCTGAGGCAGTAATATTCCACAGATAATCTTCCACTCTCTTCTGTCTTCATTTCGTCCGTCTCATCTTTCTCACCCGAACCACCACCCACCCATTCCCACGATTCCTGAAAGCAGGCTGAGGATGGCCTTCCGCCCTACCTTCCGGCATAGTCCGGAGGGACTATGCCCACCAGCATTACTGGCTGGTGGGAATGAAACACCCAAAAGTTTTTTTTTTTTGGTGGTATTTCAGTAGCTTTTTGGTCGTTTCGTACTAAATGCGGTGCTGTTTCACTGCTCATTTCGTAGACAATCGGCGGTTTTGTCCTGCAAACGGACCTTTTTCGGTCATATTTTGGAGAATTTTAGTTTGGTTGTAATTCGGTAGTGGAATTGAAAAGAATAATTTTTACTCGGGGGCCGGATAATTTCTACCTTTCGAATTTTCAAACCAAACAGCATCTTTTGCAAAATATTTCGTAGGCAAAATCACTGCGATATGGCTAACAAAGTGTTCTTTAATAATAATGCAGAAATCTCCCAACGGCTGATAAGTTTGACAAACACTGCCCTGGTCTTGATGGTAATAAATAGAACAATCTCAAAAGTATTGACCCATCGGACAGGTTACTAGCCGCACTATATAATGCTAAAGAGTAAGAGACACACCATCGTTACGAAAGAAGTCTAACACTATGCCAATATACAAAAAAGTGATCCCGAATGCACCAACAATTAGAGTCCGTTGGCACTTAGTAATACCATAGCAAAACTGTTCATAACTTTACTAGCTAACAGTCTCACAACATTCACTACAGAAGATATGAAGAGTGCCATAAACATAACTCCACCCTGAACGAGGTGCTAGATAATACCCAAGCGTAACACGTTGGCAAAATTTAAACGCTAAAAGAACATTCATCCCTCCCAGGCTTGACTTTATGCTAAGGGGAGCACATGTAGAAAAAACGCTGTTTATTAAAACTCATTAAATATTAAAAAGATGTGCAAAAATGGATGTTGCTCAACCAAAGTTCAAGTGCATAGATCCTATTCATCCCAGTTAGAGGGGATCGGGAGCTTACACTCCTCGGTGACCTAGCTGACTTACTAACCATAGCTCATGTTTTCAAACTTATCACCTGTCTCGACTCAGACATCACCGAATTGACTTGGAGCTCCTTGACTAAAACCGTCACCAGATGAATCAAATCATAACCCAACAGAAACGGCATGTGTCGTTACCTATCTGGAAAGATGGACAATGGTGTGGCGATTTGATAGTTTTTAAGAAGATAATTAATCTTTTAGAGTGAAGTATTGAGTGTGTGGTTGTATATATTTTTTGGTATGTCTATGAAAACTTTAGTACTTGTATTTGTGTGTTTGGAATTTCTGTATTGTTGTATTATTATTGTGTAAATAGTCTTTTCTTATAATTCTATTTCTATACTTACTCTATTCTATACCTACTCTATACCTATTCTTCAGCTAAACGACTATTTAATTGTCTACGTACTTTCCTATCATCCCTTTTAACAATTCAACTCTGTATACTAACTGCATGACGTCTATAATTCTTACTTTTCCTAATTGCAGTTTTATGGTCAGTTTCTTCGGTGATTTGGTGTCAAGCTTAACTTCTCAGTATTTCTTTTAGACTAAATTTCCAGATTTTACTAGTATCTTATTGGTTAACTAAAATCAGTTCTGACTTATCCTTCCTAATTTCAACTTCACCATTCTACATTCTTAATTCTAGTCCTCATTTTTCGTTCTTGTTTTATTAAAGTTTGTTATAGTTATTCCGCATTCTATTATTTAACCACCTCAACATCAGAACACACAACGAGACCAAAATGGGATGACCAACTTTTTCACAGAAAAAGTTTATGGTCGAGACCCGGAGATGTTGTTATACGCTGAAAACGAAAATCAGCATCTCATGGGCTGAAGACATAGTATCGAACAAGGTAGTCCCCAAATACAGAGGTCCTAAGGAAACTATTACCATTCCTCCGAGCGTCAGCTCCCAGACTGTCAAAAGACTAAGCATAGCACATAAGAATACTATATACCAAGCAATGGTCCAAGGGTGACAAAAGGTGTGGAGATTGTGGTTATGCTGAGGAAACTCTCCTGCATGTTGTGTGCTATTATGCAACTCAATCGGAAGCTTGGAAAAAAAGGCACAACAAATTAATAAGTACAACTATAAATAGAGGGACTATCAGAAGAACTCAGCGCTTTAAGATCAGACCTAGTTATCCGAAAAACAACAAAACGATAACCATCATTGACGTCACATCACCATTAAAGATGGAAGAAATGCTTTCGAGATGGTCAGGATGGGAAAAATCAGTCAATATCAACCAGTTGCTAAATTGCACACCAGTCAGGAACAAAATGTACGGCTGGATGCCTTCGTTATTGGTACTGTGGGAATATAAGATTTGAAAAACAGAGAAGTCCTGAAAATTCCGAACCGTCTAATGAGACGCCTCATAGTAGCGGACACCATTCGATCCAGAGATCAGGTGGCAAACATGAACAAAGGGGAAAAACTGAAAACCAAGAGATTGAGAAGCGATAACCATAGGGGACAAAAGCTACGATAATATTCCTTTCATTTTAATTTAATGAGTGACATATATTTTATTCCCTATAATACTCAGTAAGGTTATATACAATTTTTAATTTTTTAAATATACGTAAGTATATAACTTATCTCCTATGTACTTAACTCATTTTTTATAATTTCAGCTATAACAATTTTTTTAAGGTAATATTGTAGTCTTATATAACTAGCTGATTTAAAAGTACTGTCACGCAGTGAAATTTTAATGAAATTCAAAAAACCATTTCAGACCTTAAAACATATTTCAAAATTAATTAAATATTTCATAATTATAATGTTGCTATTCTTTTCAAATTCATAAAACGGACATCGAGTTCGTTCACTTTCAAAATAAGCGTATTCGGCATTACGCAACAACGAGGCGGCAAGTGAAAACAATTATCTATTTTACAAGCGGGATTTGACGTCAGTTCGATAGCTCTGGTCATTGGGAAAATTATTGAAGTCATCAATAAGGACTTCGTCGGTTTTTTTCATTAAATCAGCTAAACCGGAGAAACTTCTGGAGCCATTGAATGACCCATATTGAACTATGGACAAATAATCACTGCTTCATCAAAAAGTTTAGCGCGTGAACGGGGATCGATGGTCTGATCGCAATCAGTCGATTCCGGAGCGCGAAGGGATAAAGTCTACCCTTAAAAAGAGTAATAGGTGGCAAATTCTGAGTGTTGGTGACACTACCCCTGGGCGATGATGGTTGCGATGCTCCTAAAAATGTAAGTTTACCTCTTAGCTAGTTTTTGTGTATTGATTGATCTACATTGGGAGGAAGATCCTTTTTGTAAATGTTTTTATCCAGTTTTCTTTATCATTTTATATTTACATAATAAAGTTGTTATTGTTTTTAATACTTGCCTATCTTGTCATTTTAGTACCTGACCTCCAGTAACGCGAAATTAATCAATTTGCATTAAAATCAGGCAATTAAAATAAATAAATAACCAATTACCGATGTAACATAAATGGTGAGGACACCGTTACCAAATTGAGCGTGACAGTACAAATACGTAACTTGCCTCTCATGTCACTGATTTCTGTAATAATGCATAATTCTTTTTCTTGCTAATGTAACAATCTATATATCTATAAGTTAGTATAAGACTCAATTTTAATAAATTTAGATAACACATGTTTCTAAGTAACGATGATAACATGTGATATCATTAAAGTTTATAAGATTTACAGATGTATTTTGCATGCACGTAATCCTCTCCACTTTTTAATAAAATATATTTTCATCTTGATAACAAAATGTATCCCAGATTCATGGCGACAAAGCTGTCACATACCTTTCTACAAAAACAAAGGCGATAACGAACAGTGCGAAAACTATAGAGTTATCAAAGTAATAGCAGATACCCTGAAAATATGGGAACCAATCATTAATACTTGTTTATAATCTCCGAAATCTCCTCAAATCGGTTCGGTTTCAAGTCCTCCAGATCAACCATGGACGCAATATAAACCCTCAGATCTCGCAGTCATCGATCTGGAAGAACCTTTCGACCGCGTCCCTCGCAAGCTAGGGTGCAAGCCCTGCGTGTCCAAAACGTATCAGTTATACAGATACGAAAATAGTAGTACGAAATTCTGAAGCGTGGCAGGGCTGAACCCGGCGCTCCACACAAAATTAAGCGTCCTTCAGGGATCTGGTCATAGTTCGCTCCTATTTAACTTGTAACTAGTGATGGACTATCTTACCAGAAGCATACAATCATCACTGCCTTGAGTACTATACGTTGATGACAACGTACTCGTTGCTGAAACTGCAAAACATCTGTAGGAAACGTTCAATATATGAACAAAGTCCCTGGAAAAATATAACTTGCAAGTCAGCAAAAGTACCCTCAGCGAAAACACAGTAGCTGATACTGTCTGCATTGAAAAGGTTTAGATATCTCGGTTTTTTGCTCATGTCTCATGTCAACATAGACGCCAACGTATCGCATAGAATTACTACAGTGTGACGTAAATGTAGGTCAGTGGTGGGAGTTTTGCGTGACCACCGGATGCCTATAAAGCTCAGAGGCTCAGAGAGAAGTAAATAGTAACCGAGCGGCATGGCCTAGAAGTCTAGACCATTGCTTAGCATTCGGGAGGACGCCGGTTCGATTCCGGGTCCGTTTGCCTTGGTCCAAGTTTTTCTGTGGTTTCCTTGGATCACTTAGGCAAATGCTGAGGCAGTAATATTCCACAGATAATCTTTCATTCTCTTCTGTCTTCATTTCGTCCGTCTCATCTTTCTTACCCGAACCACCACCCACCCATTCCCACGATTCCTGAAAGCAGGCTGAAGAGGGCCTTCTGCCCTACCTTCCGGCGTAGTCCGGAGGGACTGCCCGCCCACCAGCATTACTGGCTGGTGGGAATGAAACACCCAAAAGTTTTTTTAGTAAATAGTACAGCAGTCCGACTGGTGCTACTATGCGGGTCTGAACATTGAAAATGACGCATGAACAGAAGGCGGGCGGGAGACGTGACTATACTCGATGAATTTCGGAATGAATATATATAGGGAAACATTAAAGTAATGCCTCGAGCGAACGGCATGACCTAGAGGTTTAGACCATTGCTTAACATTCGGGAGGACGCCGGTTCGGTTCCAGGTCCGTCCGCCTTGGTCTTTTTTGGTTTCCTTGGATCATTTAGGCTAATGCTGGTGCAGTAATATTCCACAGATAATCATTCATTCTCTTCTGTCTTCATTTCGTCCGTCTCATCTTTCTCAACCGAACCACGACCCACCCATTCCCACGATTCCTGAAAGAAGGCTGAGGAGAGCCTTTCGCACTACCTTCTGGCGTATTCCAGAGGGTTTGCCCGCCTAGCGGCATTAGTGGCTGGTGGGAATGAAATACCCAAAAGTTTAAAGTTTAGTCGTGCCTAAGACAGGCCTCAAGAATGCCCACTTGTCAGATCCATCAATCTAAGACAAAAATGACCTGGTGTGGAAAGTGAGGATACCCGATCCCAAATAAAGGGAACAACTTCAACTGTGTTTCTTTAGTTTTATATTAGATATACTGTTAAAACAGTACAATTTAGATCGAATTTGAACACCAGCTTCTCTTGATTGTAGGGAGGAATTAAAACTACAATACTAAATGCACAGGTCTTCTGTAACATTTATAAAGAATTTAAGATGGTATGACAATGACATTTACACTACTGTTTATGACCATAGGCTTTCAGGGCGCAATTGGAATAGGTGGAGGCATAAAAAAATATGAATATAACATTCAATAGTCCTTAAGACTGCAATATTGTAATTTAAACACTTAAAGCTACTCTTGTGGGACCCACGTTGATTAAACGGAACTATGTAAATATTGGTCCATATAAGGAGTTATGTACTTAATACTGTATTGTTTTAAACTGTAATTAGGATTGTGAATACGGTGATCCAAAATTGGTGTCCAAGTAATAATCTCCAGTGGCACTAAAATGCAAACAAGTATGTAAACGGTGAAGAGTTAAAATAATTCGAAGTGGTCTGTATTCTGTCGAAACTGACAGACGCGGATCGCGATTTCGATCTTTTTGGATCTCATCAGCGCGTCACAGGCAGCTCGACAGAACACAGACCAACCTTTACCTGTCTTAACAGCGCGTTTTAGAAAATACCACAAATAGCATGGTGAGCGCCATCTGTAGTACGATGCTACATTTTAGGATTACGTATGCTCCAACAAGGGCCATTTAAAAATATGGATATCTACTTGCTGAAACGAATCCCGGCGTAACTAACCTCAACGTGATAGGCACGTTACCATAATCGAATAAAATAATTGGGATTCGTTTCAGCAAGTAGATATCCAACAAGCGGACCTTGTTGGAGCATACGTAATCCTAAAATGTAGCATCGTACTACAGATGGCGTTTACCGCGCCATTTGTGGTATTTTCTAAAACGCACGGTTAAGAGAGTTATTTGTTGAATATTTACCTTGTATCAATATTTACACCCCCAAGTCTGCTCTGATCGTTCGACTGACATTGTCCAGAACGGAAGTTGCTATAGCTGTCACATTTCCAAGCGGTAAATCCTCCTGACCTGACTGATTCTGCAAACAATCTATAAGCTCTGCTATGAGCACAAAGACCAGTTGGTTCAATTGTACAACCAGGCTGATCTCTTCCACCATTAGGTCTGTAATCAGCAGTTCCAAGATTATCTTCAAAGCCCCATCTGCCACCGCAGGTGTGAATTGCATGAACAAATTGCGCATCAGAGGGGTCTAATCTGTTGTTCGTAATGTTATTAAGGTATAAAGGTCCTGCAGGATCCAAACCATATATTGCTAAAATGTTACCATTTGTAGCCGCACCGGCACATCCAGCTACATGAGCTCCAAAACTGTAACTGTAATTATATTGAAAAAAAGGATTGCATTAGACGGATTAGATTTGGGTTCAGGCGAATTGAGTATTAACTACTAATGATACTACCAACGTGAGTTACTTAAATAGATGCTGCAAACAATTGTAGTAGGTATTTCGTAAAAATAAATTCAAATGAAAAGAGTTAATACCATTAATTTGGTCGTTCAAAATTAATCTTAGTTTTTGAAGTGAAACTTCTTTACGCACGGTAGGGTAAGTTCGTTTCATGCGAGTTGCTATGTAACGAAATCATGTAACGGATGTCCCCGTCTACTCGGCCACGTAGTCGAGTTCATAGTGGGGATCGGTTGAGCCGTGAGCGCGCTTCAATGCAACGTTCGTTACAGGAAACTTCGGCATGTAAAGTGTAAAATTTAAATTCATAGTGTACCATTAAACCAATTCCTTAACCCTATCCCGATATGTTTCTGTGTTTGAAGAAGTTTCACTTCAGTAGCGTGTTGTATAATTACACGTATTATTTTTGAAGTGAAAACTTCTTTAGCGACGTTGGGCACTTTTGGCAGGGGAAAATGTTATGGGGTCGCGTCACCGACATGCTCACGACTGGTGCACGCGCAGCGGCCGTGTGCTGTAGGCGTTAGACGCTTTTTGGATGGGTGAAATCTCGTGCGTTCGCGTCAACGACGTGGTTGTAGCAGTATATCTGTAACTATACAGCTACGACGATCGATGCGGTTTTTACGCGATACTTAGATAAATTTCAATCAAACGTTTTCATTTCTTACTTTAGTTACCATAAGCCTATTGTATGTTTTTTTGGAACACAATGAAATAATTGAAAGTACAAAATGTCTAAGTATTGTTGAAATTAATGATGACAATGATGCAAACAATGTTAAAAATCAAGTACATTGAAATTTATGTAAATATTTGAATAATAAAAAACCATATAAACATGCATATAATTGTTGCTCGGAGTGTCAATAGATGTGAAAACCAGATTGATGTTGATAATTTTTATTCAAACATTGTGAAATTTCAAATTTTGATACTAAAAGTTCTAAGTTTTCACTTCTATCGGCAGTCCCTATAACTGCCAAATTTTTTTTAAATATGTTTAGTTGAAGTTTTTCTTACTGGGTGAATTTTTGCCATTTACTACATATGTGCAAAATTTCTACATTATCGTTAAAACAATGTCCTTCATAAGTAACAGGACTCGAAAAGGTTGAATTAGTTTTGTTTTTGATGAAACTGGTTTTATGCTGTAGCAGTCGTTTTTTTAGGACAAGATCGACAAGTTAGTTTATAAAATCCTGACATTTTTTATTATTTATTTTATCTTCATTTTTATCAGGGGTTTATAAACTAACTTGTGAGTGTTGCACTAATGTTTATATTGGAGAAACAGGTAGACGCTTTAAAAAGTGGCTATTGTAGCATAAAAGTAGTTCCATAAAAAACAAAACTGATTCAACCTTTGTCAATCATGTTATTTATGAAAGATATTGTTTTAATATTGGAATTTTAGCAAATAAAAGTCATAAACTGACCCTGTTTCAAGTAAGTAGATTGAAAAAACTAAGACGAATTTTGAACGACCAAGTTGAAGGTAAATTTTGAATTTATTATAACAACATACCATCCCAATTATTTGCAGCACCTGTTTAAGTAATTGACGCTGATATTGCCGTTAGTAATTAAATATGTATTTTCCTCAACTAAAGGTCGAAATCATTCAATTATTTTTATTTTAAGTACAATACATTTATATGTAAACGCCCAAAAATGTATTCTTACCCTACAATTGTGAATTTATCGGCGCCCAGTCTAAATTGGGTTTGCATGTCTGCAATAAACTGCCCCAAGTATTTTCCAATTGTGGGAACGTTAGCAAATGCAATTGGGTACAGTGTACGGGATACAGGACTCCAGTCCACCACGAATATATTAACATCAGTAACATCATTGTAGGCGGACTTTATAAGACTGTTAACAGTACTAGAGTAACTGCCTAGCCAACCATGAATCAAGAAAACATTATGCTTTGAAAAATTGTAATTGGATGATGGCGAAAGGGCACTAGCGTCCAGTGAATATATTTCAGGAGTTGAAGCATTGCTTTGAGTATAAAGGTAAAGGGTAATATCGGAAGGAGTGGCATATGATTCACGAGTTGGAGCCATGGGATCAATTATTTCAACCTCTCAATTTTCACCGTATATCGTCAATAATCTATCAGAGGCACTTACTGAAACAATATATATATATATATATATATAAACTATACTTCTTAAGTATTTCAATTCTACAGTGTTAGTCGATAAGGTAGAACGCTGGTAAAAGATAACATACAATAGAAGTAGGTGACTAAGCAGATTAGAATGTAACTATGATGCTTAGAGCAATGTTATTGGAGTTGTTCAAAACAATTTCTAATCTGTGAGAGACAAGATTGTAATCAATAAACATTTTTTCAGGTTTGTAATTTATCTGATAAGTCAGTTGTAAATAGTGTAAATAGCCTTATAATATAATAAATCTCATTTTCTCAGAGAAACGTTCCAGTTTGTTGTTATATTAATCTTGCCCAAGTTAATCATAATTAAACTACATATTGTATATATACAATGTACAATATACAGGGTGTCCCAGTTATAATAATTAAAAAAAAAAAACATGGCTTCCTGACACAAAATACAACAAAAAAGTATTATACAATTTTTTGTTGTA